GAGAGTCATAGTTCTACACAATTTTTAATTTCTCTAATAGTTTTAATCCTGTTTTAAAAAGAAAATGTAATTTTAATTAAAAGAAAATTTAATCAGAAATGAAAAAAACTTTTAGGTGATTGAGTATAGTAATAATCTTATTTGGAGAATGAAACAGCAGCTTCAGGTTGTTCTTTACGTAAAGCTATGTGTATCAAAAAAATAGCAGCATCTATAAAACCACAGTCAGAAGAAATACATGCCAGACCATTAATATAAACTGCAAAATATTAGACTGCATGGTCTTCACAAGATGGGAGAGCTAATAATGGGCTTTCATTGGAAATGCAGATGTCAGCTGTGGGTGCCTTGAATTGTCAATAATAGCGTTAAACACGGGGTAGAATATCAGCCTGAGCTCATTCTTTATTCTTCTCTCAAAATCATTAAAGCTAAGAGAGTTGTGACATATGTACCGCTATGGCTCAATAAGTGAAGGCGTGCGTGGAACGTATATACGTGTATGTGCTGAATTATTCATGTCTAAGGTACTGCTCTGGGGAAGCAAATGGAGCGTGCTTTGCTGGCCCATAGGCTTTGAACCATATCTCATGAAGCAAGAGAATAAATATTCTCGGTTTATCCCAGACCAAGCTAGTTATCAGCTGTGTACACAAGCCCAGGCATTATTTTTCTTTTTGGTACAGCTGCATTGGGAAAAAGCTGGATAAGTATCAGATTCTAAGAGAAAGTACTTTTGTAGGATTTAGCACCTGCATACTGCGTTTTGTTATCTGTACTGCATCCATCTGAGTAAAGGAGATTGCACGTAAGGCTCACTCAATTTACTGAGCTGTAGCCACCAGGTCATCCTTAGAGGCAGGGGAAGGGAGACTTAAACCTGGAGGGTGATGGTAGCTCTTTGGGGGTACCTCTCTCTTTGTGGAGAGAGGGGACCGAGGCAGGGTGTGCAGCATAATGCCTGTCATCCTCTTACACCCATCTCAGTGATTCTGGCCGTCTTCCTATACTTAATGACCTGGGATTTGAGTTAGTTACTGGCCCTTGTAGCCATATCAGCATGCGGTTGTGACTTCAACACAGAGGTCTCTGTGAACCGAGTGGAGGGCAGGAGCTACTGCAGAACAGCCTGTAGCTTGGCCACATTCAGTCTTTCGGCACCCATCTGGAGGAATGTTATTGGGCCTGTGACGTTTTGGTGGTTTTTCTTTTTTTGGTTTTTTTTTTTTTAGCTCCTTTCAGCAAATAAATTGCCTTCCTCCACCCCCTCAAGACAGTGGATATTAAATGAGCTGCAGACCGAGTTTTTTAGTGTTTTTAAACATGTATTTCTTTTTGTGGTACACTAGGTTCTTATGTGACTTATTGTGTATGGGCTCTGTTGAGAAGTTAATTTGAAATGATGTCAGTTTTAAGTTTAGAAATGTTCAATCCTGGATAGATTTCAAAGCTCAGTAGAAATCTCATTTTACATTTTGAGGATGTGTGGAGGATTTAGTTTAAAATCAAAACAATATTTTAAAGTGTCACATCTATTGCAAGCCCATTTCATGCTGTGACCTCTTAGTGCAATACACAAAGTTTGAACAGGTGAAGAGAATTCAGCTGCTCAAGGAAGAGGTGTTGATTCAACAGATGATTCCTCTCTTGAGGTTTCTCTAAACGATATTTTGCTTTAGGATACATTTTAATTACAGTGAGGGGGAAGTGTAACTTTCTAGCATAGATAGGAAACACATGCCACTTGTTAATTTTGTTTTACGCTTTGCTAACAAACTTATTTTAGATTAAAAATGTCTAGAATAGGAATTATCATGTAATGCACTCCAGTAACTACGCTGTTAGGCAGTGGTGACCCTCCTCCTTCTCAGACAACTAAAAACTTACATATTGAAATAAAATCTCAAACATCTGAATGCTTAAATTAATAAAACAACTGTATTGCCTAAAAACATACTTGTATTTGATGCTTGGGTTTAGATTATACATGCATCAGTGTCTTGTATTTGGACAACTTTTAAATGTGTGCTTTATGTACTAAATAATCTCCTCCTGTTTTTGTCAAGCTCTGCAAATTACTTATTGTAGCCTACATTACCCTCCTACTTATTTACTAAAAGCTAGGATTTTACCACTTGAAGGTTTTGGATCTGTCTGGGATAGAAACATTGTATATTAGCAATATTTTTGTCATTATGCCAAGTGTCTAATAACAAAGAAAAAGTCCTTCTCCTCCTCCAATATTGCTTTTATTCAGTATGTCCTTGATTTAAATTCAATTTTATGTTAATTTTCTTACTGCTAATGTCCTGTGCTTTTCTGAAAATGAAATACTCCTTAACTTCTTAGTTTACTTGGCTGATGAAGAAGTTGCTTGGCAGCATTATCTGTATTTTCCCATCTCATATAATCTTATGTCAACCTAGCTCTGACCTTTGTATCATGGAACCTAGTGGTAATACACCCTTCTGCTTAACAAGCTTTGAAATAAAAATATATGATTGGCAGAGCTGCAGGAAATAATTAGTTCCAAGTAGATGGGAGAAGTGAAAGGATTATTTAAAGGAAAAGAAAGTGATTTCTCTGGTTTATGGTGCATACGAAGTTGTCTCAGCTTTTAATTTAACTATTAAGGGACTGAAATAAATTTAAGTCACTTTGTAAATGTGTTTTTGAATGCATTTTTGAATGAATCATTGTAAAGAAGCCCTCTCTATAACTTTGCTGCTTACTGGAAGCTCAAATATTTGAAACAATAATTAGTTCATTTGCTCTTTCATATCTACTCATAAAATGTGGCTGAGTGGAAAAGCTACTGTACGGAAGAGAGCATGTGCACTAGGTGTTACTGAAATGTGCCTAGAGAACAGTTTATGATGTTCTTTGAAATAATAAAAAATATGTATATACATTTCCCAGGAAAGAATTCTTCAATCAGTTCTTCAGTCAGTTGTTACAGAGATCCAGGTGTGTTTTGTGTGTTTGAATTAGATATACAAACCAGGATAAGCTCAGTCACTGTATAGATGAGTTCTCAAGTACTCTGTATGTGGTGGAAGAAAGAAGGAAAGATAGATTCTTCAGAACTTTGTCTGTGGCACTTAAAAACCTGTAGATCACACAGCTGTGTTCTGCGACAAATGGATAAAGAGTGAGCTACTCTCTTGCTCCTTGGATTTTTCCATACTCTAATTTTCCATTCATTTGCATGGCTTTTTACTAATAACACCTTCATGTATGAAAAGAAGGCAAAGCTGAAAGCAAAGTTGACAGCCAGATAGGCTTTCTTCTTTGTCACAAGCATGGATCAATGACGAGGTATTAGGAGACATTTCACCCATGCTGTCACTGGCATTGTGCAGGATGTGCTTCCCCCAAGGTGATGCTGGCTGTGCTGCCTCTCCTTGTACAGATTGAAGCCAAGTCCTGAAAGAAAGTGGTTGTGAATTACATGAGTTATGGGAGCAATGCATAGTTCTTAAAGCTGATGCAATGAATGATTGAGGACTTTTGATCGAGGTCTAGTAAGGATCTAATGCTAGGAGGGAAACGTAAGAGAGACTTAATACCCCTTCGGAAGCATGAAATGTAAAACATTATGGTGAAAGCCAGGATGAGTTTGGAAAGAATGTGATTAAACTCATGTTGGTCTAAAACTGGCATTCCACTTTTTTCTTAATTAAGATATCTGTTCAGATACTACTCACTCTGTCTCTTACCTTTGTATGCCTCATGAGAATGTCGTGTTGCCATTTGTTTCCTTTGCATTCTTTCAGGTTGACCAGTTCTGACTCTTTGATGCATGTTAGAGCAGGGCTTTTTTCCTTTTACAGTCTCTTTCCATTTCTCTTCTAGTTGTGTTTAGTACAGGAGATAGCTGGTTGCTGGTTCTCCTGCTCATCTGTACTGCTACCATTGATGATCTGAGTCCCATATCTTCCCAGTTTCCTGTGCTCGTTGCTTTCAACATTTGAAATATTCTGGTTTTGAAGCCAAAGCTCTCTGAGCTTATTCTCTGTGGACTGTGAAAGGGATGGGTTTTGAAAATTATTTTTTTGTGTGTAAACGGGGTGGCAAATGAGAGATTATCTCACATAAATAACTGCCAGTGCTGTATCATTCTTGTAACAATGCAAATCTGTGAGTTTTGTGCCTTATTGCTATGGAAATTGCATGTCTGATTGAAACTAGCTTTAGAATTTGTAAGTTGCCGGTAGCTTATTTTCTCTTAGTGATATCCACAGTGTGTTGTCCTCGCTATCTAATGCTCAAAATGTAATAAACTTCATTACAAGCAATTATTAATCTGACAAATGCATATTTTGAACACTTACACTATTCTGGTGCAATGCACTGATTATATAAAGAGCAATGTAAAGCTACTGTTCTATTTCAGGTCTTGAAAGGTCAGAGTATGCTACTGAGACTTAGAGAAGGGCTTTTACTACCTTGCTATGACTGAGCCATCACGTATCTTGCAGGTTTTTGCAGCCACTGTTTATTGGCACATTTTCCAACTGCAGCTGTATTTTTCTCTTTTCCATGACAGAAAAGCGAACATTTACGTAATTAATGCTTCTTTCAAGGCATTTAAAGCAATGAGTTTTCTTGACTGGTGAATCGCAGTGTTGTGTTGTAATTAAAAGTTTTATGAACAAAATGAGATAAATGACTTCAGAGGAAAACTATGCGGAAAAGTATGTAGCTGCTATATCCAAAGCAATAAGTAGGGAATATTTAAATTAATTTGCTTAACTTTGAAAGTGTTTAACTTACATTTGCTTGAATGTGTTTTATATATTATTGTCATTCTATGAGCTTTGATTTGATTAAACCTCTTACAGCCCAAGACAAATACTTGAAAACCAAGTATTTGGGAATAACATATTTGGATTTGGTAATATTTTTGTGTATCTGTATGATTATAAGTGTGTGAGGAAAACTTCACTGTTCAAATGATTTGGTGTTTGTTTTTAATACTGATTTTTGTAACTTGGCAGGGACAGCCTGTTGGAGACTGTGATTTTAATGTTCGACTTGCGTGTATAGAGAAAGAGATTATATTTCCACGACATGAAAAGATGAAAAATGGTCTTATTGACAAAGCACAGGAACCATTCAGTGTTCGAAACAAACCATTTTTTGACATCTACACCTCAAGAAAGGTAAACTTGATTTCGGTTTCTTATGTTCTGGTGCTAAAGGCAGCAAAGCAGTGTTGCGTATAGGTTTTACCTCAGCTTTTTTAGGTTCCAGTGAGTTCCTCTGCTCACTGAGTGTTCAGCAGTGTTTGGGGAGCGATTGGCAGTTTGCAGTACTCTGAAAAGTGGTATTGGGTTACCTAATCCTTCTGAGTTGCTATTTTCACATATTTAAAACCAGTGCTTTGGCAAAACCTAATTCTTTAGTTTCATAATGTTGAAGGATGATGTAGAAGTTAATAGCTTCAGGTCTGAAATGTCTCTGAGCTCAAGGGAGTGTCTGAGAGCTATGTTGTTTACAATATCCTCCTTCGTAGGTAAGAATATAACGTTTTTACTTCCAGTCCCCATTTGGCCATAGTATAAGAATCATGAGTTGTGCTTGGACTCCCATTTCATGTCTAGCAGTGATTACTAAGAGCCCATTCTAGTTAACGTCTCCACATTTTACTTACTAAAATAATACCCTAGGTCTTCTGAAGTAATGCATATGACTTGCAGATATATGTGTGAGTTCCTGTCTTTTGTAGTGCACTTCTTTTCTTCAGTATAGACATATCCTACCATTCTATAAAATACTTTTATTCTCTTCTGTGAATTAAATGGCTCCTGGATAATACTTTCTTCTAGAGGAACCTGTTTTTCTCAGCACTACTGTAAAAAGTAGTCCTGTGTCTCATCAACACAGAGCAAGGAACATCAAATTGTCAGCTTCCATTTGCTTTTGTTATTTCTTTGAGCCTGCAGCAGGTGATGAATCTCACCCCAAGAGG